CATACATTTAAAACTGACAGTGGAAAATGACTTTCTGCTTTCTAGCAGTGCTAGCTGAAAATAGCCAAAGTTATACCTGATGATATGAGAGATGAAACCAGTAATTTTCACTTTTTCTTTCTTCTCATTATAGTGCTCATGAGGTAAGTAATAACACTTGATATTGCTCTTATCTATTTTCATTCTCAGAAGAACTACTTATTAAGAGTCAATTAGTTTTGTTTGTGTGACATCAATGAAGTTAATGATTTTACATAGTATGCCTGAAAATAATAAATTTAACATCACAGAATAATTCAGAAGGAACATCTGGAGGTCACCTAATGCAGTCTCCTATTCAAACATCATCATCATGAGGCCAGCCCAGCTTCATCAGGAATTCCGTAGGAATCAGGCGTTGAAAGCCTCTGGAACAGTTTGCAGAATATGTCTGGGCAATTTCTTCCACTGCTGGAAGTGGTCATGACATGAAAAAGCTTTTTCTTCTGCCTGCTCAGAATGAGTCATGTTTAAAATTGTGCTCGTTATCTCTTGTCCACAGAAAAGAGTGTGACTTCATCTCCTTGATAACTGCGTCATAGATGTTTTATAACTAGTGTTTGATTCCCTCAAAGACTTTTCTCCTCTAGGCTGAACAAACCCAGTTCCTTCAGACTCTTGTCTCCTGGAAAGTGGTCAACTCCTCAACCTCTCAGTGGCCCTCCACTGAATCCTCTACTATTTGTTGATGTATTTCATGTGTTTGGAAGCCCAAAACTGGGCAAGTATTCTGGAAATGATGAGTGCTGACTTTAGACAAGGTAGTGATTATCCTCAACCTACTGTGTATACTCTTGTTAATTCTTATTAATTATCAGTTAAGGTGCTATTGGCTTTTGCTGTCTCGGCCTGCTGACTCATTCTCTGCTTTCTGTCCATGAAGATTTTCAGGTCCTTTCCAGCAGAGCTATTCCCCATCTATTAACCACCCAGTATTTATCAGTGCAAGAGGTTATTCCTTCCAAAGGCACAGCTCTTTGCATCTGTCCTTCTTGAATTTGCAGGGATATCCAGTGATCAGCTGCCAAGCTACAGAATCTTCATTATAGATAATACTTCAAAATGAAGGAAAGAAAACATTTTATATTTTGGTATCAAGAGAAGTTTGTAAAATCAGGAATGAAATAAAATTTCATTTTAATTATGAATGTGCATATTTGCTATAGAATCTGTTAGAGGTAACAGAAGCAGTTCCAAAGCAAGTAATTTGTACTGATAAATTGAACAACTTCTTTTTGTATTGCTGTTGCTTTAGTTTCATAGTAATAATATTGCTTAGCAATACAGTATGCTTGATATTCATTATTCAGATTATATCTATCATTCAGTGCTCCTTTCAATGGGTAGGAGTACTTTGGCAGACATCAAGGAAATTCAGCATAGCTAAGAGGCTTTTTTCACAAAATGGCTTGCTTCACTAGTGAAGAAAATGAAAACAATGGCTGAACCTCATGTTCAGTGGAAATTTTGAGGTATGGACCACAGAGCAGATTGAGGAACTTGCAAGTATGGTGACAATGTGACATCATGTAGCCACATTTTAAAGTAAGTAAAATGCTGTTTTTTAAAATGTTCTGGTTACTTGTAAAATGTTTTGAATCTTCTGCCAGACTGCTTCCTGAGAGATGTGCCTGGAGGGCTTCTTTTCATGCAGCCTGGAATCATTACAGAATGATGTGTTGAGACAGATTTTCGCAGTGAGATTTTATGATAGTGTTTAGAGACTACCTAAGTCAGCAGTATTTTCTCATTAGTTGATTTTTTTGAAGGGACATAAATTAAAGGATGAAAAGTAAATAATTTTAATTGTGATAAGAATATTGAGAATACAAACTCTTGCATCTTTTTTTAAGGCAGGTTATCGTTTGCATTTTCTATGTGAAATGAAGAAGTAAAGGAAATAAAATGGTAAAAGACAGCAAACATGAAAACAGGACCAAACACGAAGCATACAATTAAATCAAAGCTGAACCAGTTTTTCATTTTTTTTTTAATTATATGTTTTTTAATAACGAAAGTGCAGTTATTTCTTATCTCAACTTCCATCACAACATAGATTTAAAAGAATTATTCATCTTGTCTCTGTGGCTCTGCAATGAGGAATTTGATGCTTAGAAAATTCCTTCAGCCCTTAATCTTCCCTGCTAAAAATCTTTGCTATTTTGAAGCCTAAGATTCCAGACATTAAATCTTGTTATGCCTTTGTATACTGGAATGAAGACTCTTTCTATGGATCCTCCCAAGTGGAAATCTGAAGCCCTCTTAACTTTTACCTTGTTGAAACAAAAATACCAATTTATATTCCTTGAACTTTCAGATGCAAAATATGATTTGCCACTGTTCCTGTGATTCTTCTCTGAACACATACCAGTTTTCAACATCATGCTTGAAGCACAGATACCAACCATAATATGATACAACTCCACTGCAAAGTTTGAATGCTTTGCTACTCATCCTTCCCCCTTCACAAGTACAAGCACCTCTTCTAATGCTCTGAGCCCTGGTGTTATGGATGGAACTTAAAGTGTAATGAATATCCACCATTGATACTCAACTGTAATAAAGTAGTAACCATTAAGAGAAGTAATCAGGGTCTACATTCTTTGCTTTTAAACTATGTGTTTTCCTTACCCATACAAATATATATGTACTGTTTTACACTTGTATTGTTTTATACTTTGCCATGCAATTCCCTTCACTTTTTATTATTCAGCATTGCTTCAGAAGTCATACATACTCTCAAATTTTATCGCTAATAATTTTTCTTTCTGTTTCAGGCCACCAATAAAATATATAGTGTATGACAAAATAATGACCCTTTAAGACTCCTTTCTGAAAAAGCAACTTATGATTTCTTGTAGCTGAAGTTCCCTTTTAACTCATTAGTATCTACAAATCTTGGGCAAGCCTTTCTGAAATGAGTGCCTTTTTATTTTCACAGGGAGAACTTTAGGATGTAAAGTCAGAATTTAACACTAAGTAATTTAACCTGGCTTTTATTAATGAAACTAGTATAAAAGAAAAGCAAAAATAAGTAAAGACTCTAAGTCAAGCCTGAGGCAAGAACTGCATAGTGGTTTCTTATATCACATAGTATTTTTCACCAGAGGTGAAAAAAGACAGAATCTTGTATGAGTATGTATATGTAATGTTTCAAGAACACTGGGGATAAAATACAATGAAATTTCGACTGAGTTACATGTGCTATGAAAATAATTTATTTTGGTGAAAAGCAGATTTGTATGCATCACACAGTCTGTTGTTGTAAGTAAAACGAGGATGTTGAGGTTTCAGCATGGTTTGTGGAGGCACAGCAGGGTTGTATCTGTTTCTAAGATAGTACTTAGCTACAATGTGCCAGTGTGGTTAGCACAAAACACGTAGACTGAAGAGATACAACACTATTTGCCTGAAGTGTAAGCTTTATGAGTTCTATTCTGAATTTAGATCTTGAGAGACCTGTGCAGCTTTGATCTGCTGCACTAGTCTATCAAGTTTCCTTTCAAAATTTGGCTGTCTGAAATCAACAAAAAAAATGAACTTACCATTTACATCAGGAAGCTTTAAAAAATCTAACAAAATGCTTATCATTTTATCATTACAGAAAACAATGTATTTTAGAGTTTAATCTGCTAGACACTGTGTATTACTATGCCAGTTTCTCTATGTTGCATCCTGCTGTTACTTTTATATACATACTCATTTTATAGTTAAAGCAGAAAATTTAGAGTCCTCTCTAGGAATATCAACATATGTTATGCAAATTCTATAATATGTCAAGCATATTTGCTAAAAACTAATAAAGAATCAATAAAAATGTTAAAGAATTTTATGCAGAAAGCATCTCTCAAGAAAGGTTTGTGGTTCCCTACCAGCTAGCAGACTTCAGTTGGATGATTCGTATTCTTAGAGAGCATCATTTGATGAGCACTTTGCTGAATCAAACCAGAGAAAGGAAGCATTAAATGTTTGGTGCGCTTGTAACCAGGATGCTGCCAAAATGCAGACAAAACTATCCTAGAATGACAAAGCAGTGTCCTGGTATGAGTAGGCATTTTAAAGTGTTTACTTATTAATCATGTTTCTAAGCAAGTAATAGAACACAAAAAAATTTGGGCGGGTGTCAGATTGCAAACTATGAGAACTGCCCCAGAACAATCTCTAGCAGAGAGACAACAAGAGTTGGAATGGATGTAGAAAAAATAACTTCAGCACTAAATAATGAGAGTTTCACTAAGACTGTTTAATCTGCGAAATAATGCAATAACCTCTCAAGCGCCGTAGAAATTTTTAGATAGATACACATCATGCATGAAAACCTACCATTTGTATTTGCTGTATATACCATCTTTTAGTATACAGAGACAATTTTAAACTGAATTTTGATCGATTATAGAATCATAGAATCATAGAATCACAAGGTTGGAAACGACCTGTAAGATCATCTAGTCCAACCATCCTCCCATTACCACTGCTACCACAAGCACTAAACCAGATCTCGCAGCTCCTCGTCCAGACGCCTCTTGAACACTGCCAGGGACGGCGACTCCACCACCTCCCTGGGCAGCCATTCCAGTGCCTGACCACTCTCTGAGAGAAAAAGTTCTTCCTCGTGTCTAACCTAAATTTCCTCTGGTACAACTTGCAGCCATTTCCCCAGGTCCTGTTTGTTGCCTGGGAGAAGAGGCCATTACTGACACAATTACGTGAAACAATAAAATAAATCCAAGTTACTACCAAATTTATGTGGAAATGCAAATAGAGTAGCCAGGCATACCCAGCCCGTGGCCCAGCCCAGCCCATGCTGTGGCTGTGCCTTGTGAATTGCCACATGTTTAAAAAAAAAAAGAATAAAATTAATTAATAGATATGTTAACAAAATTTGAATAGATACACTAGCTCATTTACAAGAATATGATGTATTTTATTCTTCTACCATTTTTTAGTGAACAGAATCATTTCTGTATAAATTCAGAAACAGGCTTTATTTTATTTAGAACTTAGTTATATCAGGTTGTTTAATATGAACTAATAAATATTGATGTTTTTATTGTTGTTGTTTGTTCTTTCTTTTTTTTAATTGGAAGTAATAACTTTTGAAGTAATAACTAAATGTGTAAGTGCTTCAGGATTTGACTCTTGTGGGAATATATGAATAAATCTTTCCCTTGAGAGGGAGGAGTAGAGATCTAGCACTCATTTCTTGCATAAATTAAAAAAAAAAAATTCTTTTATGAACCACAGGTTTTCATACATCACTGTCTTTACATGTGGTTTTCTCATCAGTTGACTGTGCTTGTTCAGCTCTTTGAAGGAAGAATTTAATATCCTAAGAAAAGGAAAACAAAAAGTTTAAAAAGGTCATTAATGTAACAGCCTGATCTGCCTTAAAAATTCAAATTACAATGCCTGTCAAACTGGAATTAGCATTGTAACCAGAGGCTAGAAGAGCCCAAGAAAAAGCTAACTTCAATGAAAACATATAAATTACACTTTTTCTAGTTAACATAAATTGTCCTCCCAAAGGCCACAAAAACCACCACTGCCCTTTAGCTTTAGCACTAGTTCAACATGTTTGTGAAAAAATAACCATACAGTGGCAACTGCAGATAGAACATTCTTCAAGGCAAATTCTAGAAGAGTACATGACACCTCCTTTACGTCACTGAGATGATGCCTTCATGTTATCTAACCTGTAAGGTTCTGTGGTTTTATGAAACTAAAGTATATTAAAATGGTTCTTAAAGTAAGCAGAGATACTAAGGATCTCTATCCTTGTCATTGAAGAGTGATATAAATACCTTTTGAACACTGATTTTTTTTTTTTTTTTCAACTAACAAATATCATTCAGAACACACTGACATGAAATTTTCAATAAAGTTTCTTTTTGTATATTCAGATTTCAAACTGATCATAGAATCATAGAATCATTTGAGTTGGAAGGGCCTTACGAAGTCCACCTAGTCAACCCCCCTGCAATGAGCAGGGACAGCACAGCTCACTCAGGTGCTCAGATCTCAAAGAAATACAATAAAATAAGTAACTGCAACATTTGGAAAAACACACACCTACCTGCAGACATTATAGACTTACATTTCTGTGCAGTACTGCATTATTTATAATGTTTTGATTAGTCACTTTTAAATTATGTTGTATTAGCAAAACTTTTCTGACTTCATCAATGAACAAGCAATCTGTGATTTAAAAAGCTAACATGCCAAATGTTTACGACAAATATTAATGTGATTTAACTTTCTTGAATTTTCCATTATTGTCAGGAAGTACATTTTTCCATTAAAAGAATAACTCGTATTCGGGATTTCCATGAAATAAATTAGTTTAAATTCAAATACATATTCCAATATGTATTTTGTGCCTATTTTTAAAGATAGAGCTTTTTTTTCCCAAAGCATAAACTGCCTGTATTAAATCATGCCTCGTTTTATTTGCAATTTATGAGAAGCATTTCAGTGAATACCAAACAACTGAGATAAAACATTAATTTTGCCTGTCCTTTGTTTTAGAAGGCAGTGCTAGCATTTATCTTTGACTCTAAGAAATACTTGATTCTAAAGAGGCCACCTTCTGTACATTGAGTCAGAAAAAACTTTTCAATTCCGGTTGACAAAAGCAAATGTTAGCAAATGGAACCTTCAGCAAGTTCACTATCAGCCCTTATCGCTACCACACAAAGCAGACAAGGATCTCAGTAAACCATAGTGCTTCTAGCATGACAGAATGTGAATTTTATTATGCATCTTTTAAATACAAAACATAAGCCTATGTTCTTGTAAAAAATAAGCTTGAGAAAGCTATGGCTAATCATCATGGAGCAAATTATTTATCTAGTCATTTCCAATACTGCTGCTGTATTCATGTGTGTGGGAAGTGGAAATCTATGCTCTAGCAATGTCACAGAAATATACATTAAAAAACAGACTGACAGTAAGAATGATATGATCAAAAATTACAATCTCATGCAGAACAGAGATTGATAGAATAGCATTTAAGGATGTGTTAAACATAAAGTTTCCTCTGGACAGATCCAATTTATGTAACTAATAATCTTGCAAAGGAAACCAGAACTGAATAACCTCAAAACACTGGTGAAATAGTCCACCCATGGATTTAATATGTCTGCATTAGATGAAGGAAACAAAATTCTTCTGTTACATTAACAGATACATTTAGCAATTTTATGTCAGAAATGCAATATTTTTCATGCATATTTTGCATTTCCACTTCTATTTTTGATGGAATACATGATATAACATAGGTCTTTTATTTAGAGTAGGTATTTAAACACTGTTAAACTTTCCTCCTCATTGCATACTGCGACATCACATGAAAAAGGTTTCTCAAATTTCCTAAGTATTACAGCTACAACCTCCATGTAGACAATGATTCAGCAACACTTTTTCCCCTAAAGCCTTAAGTACTGAGTACTAATTTAATAACTCTGCTCATGAGCCTTACAGAATAGAATCTGCATCAATTCTGCCTGAGACAGAACATGTTTTTACTCTGGGAAATGATAAGCTGAGTTCTGAATGTTTGTTGAGTTCTCTAATATTAAATGGTGCTGTGAGTATAAGCAGGATTTTTTTTTTCAATAATTGTCCAACTTTCAATTGAATGTTTGGCAGACATATTCACTATACATTATTAGAAATCCTAACCCAATGGAACTCCAATTGTAATGATTATCTAGGCAATGTTATCAAAATGATTAACTAAACCAACAATAACAGCAGCAGAAATAATATCATAACTAATATAGAAGTCTCTAAAGTCTAAAGCCTAAGACAGGGTCCTATTCTAAAATCAGATGTATAGACATACAGCATGATCTCCCAGCTTTCAAATTTAGGTTTATTAATTTATTTTTTAAAGGAATTAATGATAACTATACTATTCAGAAGTTGAAAGCAAGATAAAAAAAAAATGTAACGTGGCATTAAATGCATAGAAGTATTGATATTAATAAACAATTTTTTTTTTTTTTAATATTTAAACTACCTTGTTTTCCACAGTAATTATAAGAATGTAGATTACTGAAAATAATTGATTAATGGAAGCATCAAGAATTGTAGGATATCTTGCAGACTACTCAATTTATTGCAATTCATCCTTGCTCATAGGAAGGCTGTCATTATGCAGGTTGTTGCCATCCTGCAGATACATGAATTGAAACAACAAATTCCCTTCAGAAGACAACTGTATATCTCACCTGCAGATTATAGACTTTTTCAGAGATCCCGTTAGTTAGAACTGAACAGGTCATCAGAAGGCCAAAGGAATCTGGTGTCCCAACACAAATTTTACAGATTCTAACCAAATATTTAATTTATGTTTTTCAGCAAAACATTTCCAGTGTTTATGACTGAAGTAATAGAAACATTTTGACTTTAGAAACCACACCCTATATTTATCTTGTAAAAGATCTTAAAATAACAGCACTGTAGTTGGATTTCAATTTTATAGGTATTTTTATAGTCTCAGGAGAATTTCTGAAAAGTAATCGATGCTAAGAATATTGTTTATTTATACTGGAATTGTGTTCAGAATGAAAAAGTTACCAACTGTATTTCTATGAATTGTCAGAGGAAAACTTCTCCTGAAGTACATGCGCTTTTGACCAGAATCCTATCCCATACAAAACAGTGGCCTCTGGCTCCCTATGTATATGTTTGCTGCTGCATATAGAGATTTGTTGTAAAGTTGAGTAAGAACTTGTGGTCTTTAACTCTTCACCACTTAGTCAGAATTTGAAAGCAAGATGGAAAATGTTGATTTCATGCATCTAACAGCAGTCAGTATTTACCAGTGTAGTCAAGAAACACAATTTTGTCTTCTTAATCATGGAAACTATAAAACACTATATTTGATATAATCTCAGTATCAATCCTTACAAAAGGAAATTCTAAGCATAACAAATCAATGCTAAAGCTCTGCATTTTCTAATTGTTAAGTCAGGAGGTACAAGCATCAAATGAGTCTTCCAGATCAATAGAAAAATGTATTATTTAAATGATCCCAATATCTCATTAAAAAGCTGTGGAAACTGCTTTTGGCTTGAGCATACAGTCTGAAACCCTCAGTAACTGCTCAGATTCATGTATGATGATTCTCACATACAGTGACAATTTTTATAATTATTCTGCCTTGAATATATCCTACCAGCCACAAATAACTTAGGTTATTGATGTTAGCTAATACATTTTAAATATATACTAAAAGTCACTCTTTAAGCTATATAAAATAGTTCCTTCCCAAAAGGATACTAGGAATCTTGATTAACAATAAATTCTGTGCACTTGATATTCAGTTACTGATTTGTGTGAAAAGATTTTCCAAAAAAAGTTCCTCTGCTTGTAAATAGCAGTGTATATACATACAGCATCACTCATTTCACAGCACTATTAAGTTTTATTTTTGGTTATGTCATTTTTGTTTTTTATGGGAAGATTGCAGTACACTAAATTAGTTAAGTGTTTGTGTAAAGAATACTTGTTAAGACGGATCATGTATAGAACAAAGAGTTCATTCAAAAAATTCTGTGGCTTATGAGAAATTCAGTGTACTTGGAAAAAAGGGTTCAAATTAGGAAAAGTATATAGAATTAAATAAAAAGTGCCAGGAAAGATAGAAAGGAGAAGGGGAGTAATGATGTAGCATTCTGTCTTCCCATTCTTCTGGCTGATTTTTAGGTTGGGTGGGGCTCTGAGCAACCAGATGTAGTGGAAGGTATCCCTGTCCATGGCAGGGTGATGGGAACTAAACAGTCTTTAAGGTCCCTCCCAACTGAAATCATTCTGTGATTCTATGATTTTAAAATTTTATGACTCTATGATGATTCTATGATTCTTTCAGCATGCTCTTTGATGGACAAAATTTTCATGGACAATGAAACCATTGGTCTAATCTACAATCTGCAATGTTGTACATCTGGTGTACACTGCAAGCTGACAGTATCTAAATAAATTACATTTTTAGGATAATGCAAATTGCAAGTTGCCTACCTAGAAAGATCATGGTTCCTGAAAGCAATACTTACGTGAAGTTTGTACCCTTGGTACTTCTTAATCAAGTCTTGAATGAAAGGGTGTTTCAAAAGGAGTTCAACTGGAAGAGGTGTTAGATCTTCATTGCCCAATTCTTTGTATATTTTTATGAAATGCTTCAAGAGAAAACAGTATCTGTTAAATATATTAAGTGCTTAAAGAGCATCTAGGGGAAAGCAAAAAATTACAAGAGGCATTTTCTGTAGCATACAATGTAAGGTACAGAACATCTTTTGAATCACCAGCCTACCTTATCATAACTGCCTTCTATCTCCAGGCTACAAAATCTATGATTGTCTTCATCCCTACTTCCTCCATCAGGAAACACTTTGAGCAGAGTTGCCAGTGAAACTACTCCTTCACCTCTATAATTCAAGAGTTCATTTTCATCTTCTTCTGTATTAGTATATGGAAAAGTCTAAGAAAATAAGACAAGCATAACAAAAAGTGATAGTCTGTCAGCAAGATATGTTTCATTTAGACATTTATTAGGGATCAATAGGTTACATGCCCAAACTTTGGTTCTTGCAAAACAAAAATCATCACCATATATAAAATTATCCACTGAACTATAAGATGAAAGAATAGATACTGAAAGATTAGAAATATCTATAACAGTGACATCAGTAGAAATTGAAAAATCAGCTTTTTCCAAGAATCTTGACAACGTTCCTCTGAGAAATTTATTTTTTCCAGAACAACAAAACATAAAAATACTTCATAGTTACAACTTATAATAGTTACAGCACTCTACCGAGAACTCTATTTTTGTATTTATGTCAGAGTAAACTTGGTAATTCATAGAATTCACTGAATCATCTAGGTTAAAAAAGATTTTCAAAATCATTAAGTTCAACCTTCAGCTTAATTTTCAAGTTCCCACCACTAAATCATATAACTTAGATCCTATAAATATACATCTCTTAAATAGTTCCAGGGATAGGAATTCCTCCATTTCCTTGGGCAGCCTGTTCCAATGCTTGACCACCCTTTTTATGAAGAAGTTCTTCCTAAAATCAAACTAACCTTCCCTAGGTTAGTTGGGTGCAAATTGAGATGCAAATTAAGATAATTTATTCATGTCCTATCACTTGTCACCTGAGAAAAGAGGCTGCAGCCTCCTATCAGGTAGCTGTAGAGAGCAATGAGGTTTTCCTTCAGCCTCCTCTTATCCAACCCCTTTTCCCTCAGTCATTCCTTCTTTTTTGCTTGTTTTTTTTTTTACCAGCTTCATTGTTTTTCTCTGCACATGATCAAAGCAACTCAGTGTCCTTCCTGTAGTGAGGGGCCCAAAACTGAACACAGTATAAACAAACCATGAGGTATCTTTGTGGTAATATTAGATGTGGCCAAACTGAAGAAAAAACAACAAACCACCACTCAAGACATTTCTGACCATAAAGACAAGAAAGGTCCTCACAAAGGTCACTGTCTAGATTAGTTCACTTTGTGTAGGATAACAACTAAGAATAATAGAAAATAGCATTTAATTCAACATAACTTTTTTATTATTATTATTAGAACAGACTGCTGAGATTCAGCCATATTTATGTTACATATTTTAACCTTTGATGCATTCTTTTTTTCTTTTTTTTTTTTACAGTACAGAAGTAGCAGAGTTACTGAGACAGTTTTTTATACTTAGCAGTGGAGAGTATAAAAACATCAGCTCTTAAGTACAGCAGTCCTAGTAAACCATTTACATTTCATGAAATAGCTATACAAGTCCAATAGCAACCTTTTTCATACTTAAAAGCTAAGCATTTGAAGTCAATACAAGTAACGGAAATCTCTAGGATGTGTTTTGTCTGCTCTTCTCTCATTTTTATTATTAAATTTAAATTTCTTTAGGTAACTTCCTATCAAGAGCCACTAAAATCACAAAATAAGAAAAATAAGAGGGAAAAATTAAATTACTTTGTGTGTTAGTTTGTAAGCTGGTAATGAATTGGGTAGCTCTTTCTGTTCCACTGACAAATATTCCATTGATAATATTTACTGGATTTCCAGTAGAAGAGAGCTTGGAGATTTAGATAGCATATAAGCAAACACTGGTAGAAAATAGTTTAGGTTCATATCTTTAAGGTGAATATTATTTTGGATGTCTTCAGGTATTTGAGTCTTTCTATTTGATAGAGCCACGCTACATCAAAGATGACACAATATCAACTCGTAATTTACATTTTGCCCCCTTGTGGTTCTTGAAAGTCCTGCATGAAAAGCTGGCCCTAATGAAGCCAGTGGTATAAACTCTCATTTCCTTCAGAGAAATGGGGTTTTATTAATTCATGTTGTCTCTGCAGTATTCAGTAGGATTGTAAAAGGATTGTATATGTATGAAACAGGTGGTATTAAAAAAAAAAAAGAAAGATTAAAAGTATGTATTACCCTAACTGCAACTCGTCAATTTACAAAAGTCAATTATAAAGTGAAAGAGAATCTACATACAACTGTTCATTTATTTCATAACGCTGGTTTACTAAGGGACTCTCCAAAGAGGAAGTAGGCAAAATATTGTCTATATAATACACTGGAAGACATATATTAAGACATAGCACAGATTCACAATGTTAACAAATTGAGTGAGTATCTCAGTAAGACTATCTTCTTGGATTGAATGGGTTATAAACTTTGTCCCTCAGATACATTTTGTTATTTCTAGCCTGGAGGGAAATACTTCCCTCCCAACTGTGACGTGGTCAAAGGATCCTCTGACATATAGGTGATGCGCAGTTGCTTATAAACTTAGAGAAGTCCCAACAAAACTGAACCAAAAAAAAAACCACAAAGAAAAAAAACAAACATAAAGTAGAGAAGAGAACAAGTCATGTTGTTTTGTATCCAAGAGATACAAGTCATGAGATCTAGAATTTTCCACAGGAATATAGAATACTAAGTTCCTAGAATTACAGAATCATGGAATCATAGAATTACCAAGATTGGAAAAGACATCCAAGATCACACAGTCCAAGACTCCATCTACCACTAATAGTTCCCCACTAAACCATGTCTCTTACTATTACATCTAAATGTTTCTTGAATAACTCCAGGGACAATGACTCAACCACCTCCCTGGACAGCCCATTTCAGTACTTCACCACTCTCCTGGAGAAGAATTTTTTCCTAATATCTGAATCTGAACCTTCCCTGGTGCAATTTTGCTTTTCTAGTCCTAGCACTACTTACACAAGTGAAGAAGCCAACTTCCACCCCACCACAACCTCCCTCCTGGTAGTTGTAGAGATAATTAAGGTCTCCCCTAAGCCTCCTCTTCTACAGACCAAACAGTCCCAGTTTTCTCAGACACTCCTTGTAAGACTTGTGCTCCAGACCCCTCACCAGTTTCATTGTCTTTCGCTGGACGTGCTCCAGGGCCTCAATGTCTTTCTTCTAGTGAGGGGCCCAAAACTGAACACAGTACTTGAGGTGTGGCCTTACCAGAGCTGAGTACAGAGGGGCAACAGCTTCCCTATTGCTTTTGGCAACACTATTTCTGATACAAAACATGGTATCATTGGCCTTCTTGGCCACCTGGGCACAATGTTGGTTCATGCTTAGCTGAGCATTGACCAACACTCACAGATCCATATTTTCCACACTGTCTTCCAGAAAATTTGCACCAAGACTGCAGTGTTGACTAGGGTTGTTTTGGCCAAAGTGCAGGACCTGGCATTTGGCCTTGTTGAACTTCATCCCACTGACTTCAGCCCAGTGATCCAGCCTGTCCAGAGTCCTCTGTAGGGCCTTCTTACCCCAGGCAGATGGACGCTTCCTGCCAATTTGGTGTCACATACAAATGTATTGAGGATGGACTCAATCTCCTTGTCTGGATCATCAATAAAGATAACAAACAGGCCCCAGTACCAAACTCTGTGGAACACCTCTTGTGACCAGCCACCAGCTGGCTGTGATTCCCTTCACCACCACTCTCTGGGCATGGCCCTTCAGTCAGTTCTTTACCAAGCAAAGAGTGTACCTGTCCGTGTCATGGGCTGCCAGCTTCTCCAGGAGAATGCTGTGGGAGACAGTGTCAAAGGCTTTGCTGAAGACAAGATAGACTTTCCCTAATCTACCAGATGGGCCACTTGATCACAGAAAGAAATCAGGTTGGCCAAGCAGGACCTACCTTTCATGAACCCATGACATCTGGGCCTGATCTCCCATTGTCTTGAAAATGCCCTGTGATCTCCCTCAAACGATCTGCTTCATAATCTTTCATGGCACTGCAATCAGGCTGACAGGCCTGTAGTTCCCTAGATCCTCCTTACAACCCTTCTTGTAAATAGGAGTCATGCTGGCAAGCCTCCAATCCTCTGGGACTTCTCTGGTTTACCACAAACACTAATAGATGGTAGAAAGCAGCTTGGCAATCATCTCCCAGATCCCATGGATTTATTCAGGCAGACTAGAAGGTCTTTAACTGTTTCCATCTAAATTGGGGGGAGGTTTATTCTGCTCTCCATCTAAGACTTTCAGGTTAGGAGGTAGAGTACCACAAGGATAACTGGTCTGACTTTTAAAGATAAATACAATGTGAAAAAGACTTTCTCATATTTAGACTCACCCACTGACAGTTTTAAAATTTCTACTGCTTCCCTCTGGCTCTAGTCAATTGGAACTAATGAAGCATTTTACTATATAAAGGAGTGAGTTCTTTCCAAGGTGTATACAGATATGTATAGTAGGTTTCAAAAAGTGAATTTTACTTCAGTAAAGTGTAGGTGATGCATACAGTGCAGTAATGGCAGTTTTAAGTCCTAAAAAAAATGGGAAAATAATAACGTACTCCATAAACACTAAAAATGTTCAAAAGCTCAGCTTCACTTGATATGACAATACATTCATCATTGCTCTAAAAACAGTTCAGATGGTTATTAAATTAATATTAATTATTAATAATATTAAATTCAGTATTACTAACTCCTCTGACTTACAGACAAACTGGAAAACTAAAAAATAATAACAAAATTGTATGTATTTTTAAGAAACATACAGTGGGAAAGAAAGTAAGAATGGTACTGAAACCAGTTTTGTATCTATCCCCTGATGATGATATCATAAGTCACATCATAGTCTTACTTCTTTGGCCTTATAGCTGGTTATAATTGCCAAAGATTAGATCAAATAATGTCCTCAGTTCATCTTCATAATCGGCAGTTACCAAGAACTATCTTCAACTCTAGTAATTATTTAAAAAGCAAAATTTAAGACTTCAGGAAAAATACTTTTCAGTATTATTATCCAAGTCAGTGGGAATATTTTCTGAGTTCCCATGAAGTCAGAGGGACTGTTTTAGAGAGTTGGAGATATACACAACACAAATATTTACAGAAATCTAGCTAATCTATGATTTGCAAGCACCGTTATTTATATATATATATATTTATTTATTTATTGTAATATTTTACCTCACATACAAGAGACGCTTCTTTTTTGTTAATGTATGTTCTAGTAGCTATGCTAAGTGCTCTGTAAACACCTTCAGTAGGATCAGAGTGGGAAGCAAAATAAAGTAACATCTCAGAATAGTTGAGCAGTGCAGGAACCTTTCCAGTATCAGCAAATAAATGGAAGAAAAACTACAAAAGGACAGAAATACATAAATTAATTTCTACAAATGACATTTAATCAAATACAAATCACAGGCTATACAGAAAAGGATGAAATAAAGTAAGGACTGATGAATAGAAATTCTTAAAAATTTCATTCTTAAAAATGAGTAAAGGCTATATTGAAATAAATCAGATATGCTCTTTCTTAAGTGACGACTTTCAGAGAACAAGAAGAAACAAAAAATGTGGTATTATGACAAATTAGCTCAAAAACTGCTTCTTATTTTCAAATTATACCTAAATTTCTACAGGGATGTTCATGAGCTTAGACACAGGTATCATTTTTCTCTTATTCTTTACAAAGCTGGTCACCGTGTAGTAAAATTAATTCAGTTCAACAGAAAACAGGAATTCTGAGCTGACTATGGTTTAAAATACTGAAAGACAATACATGGATTCCTATCTCTGCCTTCTCTATTTCTTATTTTTTTTGTGTGTGTGTGGAAATCAGATCCTGAAGCATCACCACCTGACCTCAAAAGCCACTCAAGCATTGCAGCAATTATGGAAGAAGAAACCCAAGAAAGAATTATAGAATCATAGAATAGCTTGTGTTGAAACATACTTCAAGGATCATCAAGTTCCAGTCCCCTGCCAGAGGCAGGGCTGCCAGCTGCTACATCAAGTACTAGAACAGATTGCCCATGGCCCCAACTAACAAGGCCTTAAACAACTCTGGAAATGGGGCACCCCTCTGCAACCTCTCTGGGCAACTTCAGAATGGAGCTGGAAAAGTGAGTGGTCTCTTCTAAGTGGCTATGTTTTTAAACTTACTTTTAAGAGATTTCCTAACCTATCAAAAGCCAAATGTTCTGTGCAATCTTTTGTTTTGCTTAGATCTTCACTTCCATTAAACCATAAGCCAACCTAAAAAAAAAAAAGAAAAAAAAAGTCATTTATTTTCACGTATTAAAATTAAGCAGTCTTCATGCTCCAAAAATAATTAAAAATATTTTAAAAATACAAGGGCTACTCTGAAAGTAATGCCTCCTATGTTCTTATATTGGCCCAAAATTTAAGAGACAGACATTCAGTTACACTTTTTTGTGGTATAACAGATGACAGCAGAGGGGCAGTCTGACAGAATGGTGCCTGACATGGATATAGCAAAGGTGTGTCAATGAATTCCTCCATGCAGATAAAAGTCATTGACTTTTATCAACACTTGCTGAATGTTTATGGAGAATCATAGAATCATAGAATCACAAGGTTGGAAACGACCTGTAAGATCATCTAGTCCAACCATCCTCCCATTACCACTGCTACCACAAGCACTAAACCAGATCTCATAGCTCCTCATCCAGACGCCTCTTGAACACTGCCAGGGACGGCAACTCCACCACCTTCCTGGGCAGCCATTCCAGTGCCTGACCACTCTCTGAGAGAAAAGTTTTTCCTTATATCTAACCTAAACCTCCTCTGGAACAACTAGCAGCCATTTCCCCAGGTCCTGTTCTTTGCCTGGGAGAAGAGGCCAAACCCCTCTTCACCACAACCTCCCTTGTAGTTGTAAAAGTGCAATAAGGTCTCCCTTATTGAGATAAAAGAGTGAATGTGAGCACAGTGAGGGCTAAGTGGATCTTCTCAGCAGTGGAAGCAGCAACATGTTCTGGTCAGCCATGCAGATTTTTACAAGTGTAACATGTCAAGCTCTTATTCATTGCTGGTGAGAATGCATATCTACTGGTGGCAACTATGTTGAAAAACACTGTTTAGTAGATGAGAATTTACTCTATCAAATAGTGTTATTGTGCTCCTTTATCTGAAGCAGTTTCCATGGAAATAAATGATGTTATTTTCAGTGTCACCTACGTAGATTACCGAGAGCTCAACTGTTGAATTTAATCAAGCTGACTTTGTTACTAATTCACCATGACACTGAACAAATAAAGTAGCTCCTTCAAGTTAAGATAGATAATTTCAGAACTATGAAAAGTGGAGTGGCATAGAAGTGGCACTATGTTCATGAAAATTGTGTAAATGAATGAGGTAGTTGTAAAGAAACTTCTGTCAGATCCTACCTTCTAAGATAGGATGGCCAAAACCAGACTATCTACAGAAAAACTCCCTTGCTCATAATTGGGTCTTGTTAAACCAAGCTAGAAATGGTGCAAAGAATGTCACAGTAAGGACTATTGAGTTCCACCACCTTGCGGTGCTCTCTAGTACTATCTAATTTACTAGCAGAAATGCAGACAGTGGGGCACCTCAAATTCCTCATGGAAGGCTCTTCCTGTTATCTTCACCAAATGTTGCTTGTCATTGTTCCTTGTTAGGATGGTAATATAAAATCAGTAAATCAAAGTTTCACAAGATTTTGCATGCATGTAAGTCTCAGTATTAAAGCAGAGAATAAAGCTCGTCTTCACTTTTATTTATAGATATAATTCTAAAAAGTCTTTGTACATTCCCTGTTTTGTTTAAGGGGCAAATAGATTTGCAAATAGTTGTAACCTTATGAATCATAGGTACTAAAAAAAAGGTGCAACAACCTTTCAGTGTAGACACTGTTAAAAGATTGTGATGAAGCTAGTATTTTACTAGCTACATACTTTTCCATATTTCAGACAAATTATTACAATCTTGTTTGTACAGAATATTGCATTGTTATTTTTGTGTGCTTCCTTTGCTAAGCATGGCAATGAAATTGGAAAAAATCAAAAGATTCTAAGATTTTTTTCTGCTTTTTTCTTTATGCAAGTTATCAGGGAAAACTGACAAATTAACAGCAAGAAAGTAAAATTTTCGTTGTTTCTGAGATCCTTTTCTAGAAATAAATCAGATGGTAGATGATGTGCCTATGGGGTGGTTGAACCACTATTTAATCTTACTCAGCTATTGCTCTTATTTTTATAGTCTGAGTCATTAATTCTCTAGTTCACCATGTTCTACAGAACTAGTCATTTTTTTTCAAGCATAAAATTAGAAGAAAATGACCTAATGAAATTTGACACAAATTGCCTTAAATTGATATTAAAAATGCAATAAGAACAATTCATATCTTCTTAATAAATTAGAGGGCTAAACTTTACTTAAATCCAAAAAAATCCTGTTCCTGTCCTTTTAATGGCTATAAGTGCAATAATTCCAAATACACAGCAGATACACAGAATTTTCATGATATTTTAAATGAAGACAGTCAGGCTCTATTCTCAAACAAAAAGACATCAATAAGTTTTATTTGCAATACGACCCTATTGTTGAATAAAATCTTCAGAGCAGTGCAGACTCTTAATTACTATTGAACTGAATTACTTGGAATAGCTTCTGGATATTCCCAAAATGCTCTCTTGAGCATTTTAAGTTATGTGCATACCAAAATAGGTCTCTTCTGAAAAAGTAGCTTCAGCTGAAAGTTACTATGTGTTTCTGAATCTTCTAGTCTTATTTAGTCCTTTAGTAACTGCACAAGACTACAAATTCAGTCACCATTCTTAGGGAAAAACTAACAAGAACAGTTCTATAAACAAATTAAATGCACACAGTTTTTTATTTACCTTGAGCTGACTTTGAGGCAGTTCTCATCCAGAAGTGTGCAGACATATTGCTCAGCTGAATTTGTTTTTAATTAGGATTCTGTCTTAAAAAAATTTCGTTTGCAGCCTTGCATACCTTAAACATGCTTATTTTTAAACTCTCAAATTTAAAAAGAAAAGTAGACAAATAGTGCAACATATGTACAACTGCACGTTTTGTGGATTTTATGGCTTTGCAGAATTTGAAATTTTGTTTTGTTTTGTTTTTTTGCGAGCCTGGGGTGAGATGGGGGTCTGTTGGAAATTTTAATTTAATCAAAGAAGTTCTGAAACAGCATTCTGAATTAATATAGCTTTATTTAATTTTGGAAGAAAACTAATCCTACACAGTTTCAAAACCAACTTCAAAAAAGATTCTCTGAAATTTATCTAAAACATTTTGAAAATAACTTCAGTATCACTACACAAATACGAACTGACAGAACTGGAGAATTTTTGGGCATACATGCATACATGTGTATATGAAGAATTACACATAAATTGGCTAATGCAAATTATAAGAATCATCCTAAGTAATATTAAAAATCCAAAGTGAAAATTTGATGAGTGAAAGTAGATCAGCATTGTTAAAAGAAAAAAAAAAAAAAAGTGTTTGTAATACATTTTCATGAAACTTGCTTCCTGAAAAACTGGTCAGCTAGCAGATTTAAATAGAAGTGTTTTTTAAAGGAAATAAGAGGTCTAAGAATTTTTTAATTTCCTATGTGTTCAAGGTATGAAAGACCATCTTCCCTTGCAAAAATTCATTACTCTAAAATTTCTCAAAATATTCTTAAAGTAGAGTTAGTGAGACCAAATTAAAATTCTTGTTTCTGTTTGGGGCAATTTTTTGTATCCCTTGGGTCTTGAATAGTGTCAGTTAAATGTACAGACAGTTCATAGTAGTTAAAATGCTGATCAAATAATTTCTTTAAAACAGGAATTATTTTCACTTAGTTTAATTGGCTCAAATAGGAAATGGAAGTAAAAAGAAAGGTTAATTACTCTGATTAGTGTAACTACCATCTATGGATAAAACAGATGTCAAGCCTTCAATTTTCTGCAGATTATTTTCACTAGAAATCACCCTCAAATAACAAACTATATAAAATGCAGGCTGAATGTTTGAGTGTTAATAAACCTCACAATACATTATTCCATTCAAAGAGATTAACAATAGAATGTTACTGAAGAAAAGAGAATATTACTGAGAAAAGAATTATCACCTGCATGTAGTATTCCACTGTAACAAAGCCTGATCCAGCTACATCAACTGACATGAAGTTATGGAGGGTTTTGAGAAGTTGTGTCACAGATGGCACTGGCCAAGGCTGTGCTGCTGATAACATGAATCTGCGCCAGTCAATCAGTTCTGTGTTCGTACTGAATGCAGTTGTCAGCTTATGTAACTATAAAAAGAAAATAATACATATTTTCAAGTATGTATGCATAAACAACATGAATATGTAAGGTTCTGCAGCAAGATTTCAAAGATCTGTAAAGAATTGGGAGGTATTTCTACTTCACCCTTGTCTACATAGTGTAGCTACACTGATACATTTATGAAAATTACAGCTTATAGTTACTATATAGTATCTCCAATGCAAGCACAGCCATAATTCTACTTAGTAAATAAGAGCCTTTGTATAGTAAAAACACTGATGTTCCCCCACTGCCTTCACGTACTTGTGCACCATATCCTCATAAGAGAAGCATTTGACGATCACCCCAAACCCTTGGATTACTGCTTCCCTCAAACATAAACACATAAGGCAACAACCTCTCACCTCTTCCTCCTCTACAGTGAGGTGTGGAAGTAACAAATATGGCACAGTTCATTTATGCACTGTTGGTGTAGTATGAATTTACTGTGCTCCTCCATACAATTTTCTGCTCCATCTAAACTTTCTTTATCAAATCACCGATTTGCCCCATACTGGAGTTCCAAAAGAAGGAAATATATTTACATGGATCAGGGCCTTTTACAGACTGAGTGAATTTTATTTTGTAGATGCCATCTGCCAAATATTGGCAGGTATAGCACTGCTTTCTGTAATCTGAAACCTAATTTGAAATTCTACTGTCACCCACTGAAATGATGAAATGGTGAATTCAGTTGCGAACAGCTTGTGCAGAATAAACATACACAGTAATCTATGCTTCATTTGTTTCCTTTGGCATAGAAATTATGGCTTTCACTATAAATGTAGAAGTCTCCTTTTAAAGCCATGCTATTAAGGAAACTCTTTCAAGGGAAACAAAAAACAAAAATAGCACTTATAAGCATGAAGAGTTATTAAGGAATAAAGAGTACTGAGATACATGCACATGTGCTCTATTAACAAATTGAATGTTTGACTCATATTTTCCCCCTGTAACTAATTTCTTGTTTTAAGATCAGATTTTTCACATACTGAGGATGGCTGTGACTAGTTTTCACAAAATTCAATCACTCAGCAATTTTTAAATGGTTTACTCATGCAATTCATCTGTTTGAAGAATAGTCCAATAAAGCTGTTTTCCCCCCCTAAAGTCCATTTAAGACCTTAATGTGAATTGTGACTTCATCTCAGAAATAATTATCAAAATACACTAAAACTAGCATATGATAGTTTTTCATCCTACATGCTTACCAACAACATCTCAAAGTAAAATTAACCAATGAATTCTGTGATGAAAGGTTAGGGAAGGTTAGATTACAATTTTTCATATTTCTAAATCTGAAAATCTTGGGTAAGTGAATTTAAGGTCATGTAGCTCCAAAGTTTATTCTCTTTTCTTGGAATAAAGAACATAAACCATCTTACTTTAACATCTCTAAGTGAATTTTCCACTGTCTCTGAGGAAGTGATGTGATTTGAAAATTGTAAATAAATACAGTTCTGATGCATTTTGTTACTGGCACAGCATCTTTTAGAATCTTTCTCTAAAGAAACATAAGATTTTTACAGAAAAATTGATAATTGACTTTGTCAGAAGGGTAATACTGCATTTTCTACACCAATACTTCTGTTGAAATGAAAGTAGGTGTTAACTTACATCTGTAAGCGTTAGGTTCATCCATGCATCAGGAAGGTAATTTGCTCCAAGATTTGAATTAATCAGATCTATAAAAATGTCAATAAATACTTCCTTTTGTATGAAACCTAATAAAATAAAAGTTAATATAAAAATCATTTTTTGCTATTTTAACTAGTCTCATTTTGCTAAAGGGAATCAATTTTTTCATTTTAATGGTCATGGAGAAACCTATTTGTTCTGCCATTCTGTAATATTCATAATGTTTGAAACCAAACGTAATGTTGTCTCATTCAAAATAAATCATTGGTGAGGCACTGCGCTAGTTGCCCAGAGAGGTTGTGTATACCCCGTCCCAGCAGGCACTCAAGGTTGGGTTGGATGGAATCCTGGGCAGTCTGATCTGGTGGGTGGGAACCAGCCCACAATAGGGTCCACTCCAACCTAAGCCGTTTTATGTGGGGTCTGCGTAATAGCAAAATGACAAATATTCCACAAACTGCAGCTTGATACTTGTCTTGATCTCCTTTGTGGTCTCTAATCCATCCTCCCAGTCTACACTGTCAGTTAAAAATGTGTGAATACAAATGCCAATTACATACATATTTTCTGCATTCAATATCTACCAACATTTTCTTTCACTGTGCTCTAGTTTAATTAATTGTATATCTACCTCGACTCTTGAAAGTAATCATAGGATAGAGAATAAGATGGTAAACACAGAACATTGTTAAAATTTGAAGTGAAAATTAATTGCTTAAAGAGTTTCAAAGAATGTGCTTGTGGAGGTAGATAAATAACTCTGCATTTTATTTTGAAGAAATCACAAGATAAACTCTTATGTATTGATAATAAAACCAATTTGCCTTGTAAAATAAGATTGGCTTACAAGCAAACAGAATCTTTTAAATTCATGTGCATTATTAAAACATAAAACTATGCATACCAAAATACAACAGATACAGTAGACCAACATGAGTCTGTCCATTCAGAAATGGACTTTCCTTGCTCAGAGATTCACTGTAAAATCTCTGCAGTAAAGACTAAAAAAAAAAAAAAAAAAGTAAAAAAGTTTCAAATGATCTAAATTTTGAGAGTCTAAGCTGATTTGGTCTGGCTACAGTCGCTTCCACAATGTCAATACATTAAGTTTTCAGACTACGATTAAAAGCAAACACAACCAGTGAAAAACAAGAATGAAAAAAGCTGCTTGTTTGTTGGTTGCTTTTTTTCTTACTGCAGCTAAATTTTGTCCTTCTGAAAAGGAGCTGTTGTGCACATTCTGTGGCTTAGACATAGAATTCATCTTTGAAGTGGAAGAGTGAAGTGAAAATTAAGTTTATGAAGACACGTATAAGTGTTAGGAACATGAAGAATGTGTTTGAACATTCATTTGATAGTCTGAGTATTCAAAGTCCTGTGGAAAATTTGAATTAGTAGAAACACAATCTCTTTTGTTTGCTTTCAATATGAAAATCAGGAGTAAAGCTCTCAGTACATTTTAATATTGAAGAAAACCTTGGAGAGGAAACAATGCAGGTTTGGGAACCTTGAATTCTGTTGAAACAGGAAGAAGGAAGGGAAAAACATCTGGACTCTAAGCCTTATGCTCTCACATAAATTTCAGCATGAAAACAAAAGCTGAGAAAAATATTGGCAAAATGATAGTAGTAATCTGACAATCATCCACCTTCTGAAAGTTTTTGAGTTACCTGTTTTGAGAAAGAAGACCTTTTTAAAATCATGTGACTTAGGTCATTTACTGAAAAACAGTTCTTGATTTATGTACTTAAGGTGACCAGTAACTTGTTGTAAAAGACCAACAGAAAGCACTTTCTGACTTTCTGGGGTCTGCTTGGTATGGTTTAAACACTTCTAGTGCAAGGCCATCACTATGACAATCAGTCAAAGGCTGGTATCAGGAAGTATGATATCCTGTCCTCTCACAGGTTAGTCCTGTTTCGCTGATAAACCGGCCTACCCTTCTTGCAAGAACATTTTGGTTACAAACCTTATTTTTGACAAACGTGTTAGTGTGAGCTCGCTTGTTTATGACTTGGCAAAGTGCATTTGCAAGCCTAGCAGGCATAAAAGGATTCCTGAGGGGGGGTCCAGTACTTCTTTAACATCTTGATGGCCACTGCTGTTTTGAGACTACAACCTTTGGATGAGTGCACTCACCTCCCCGAGCAGTTGGTTCTACTCTAGGTAACTATACATTTTCAGAATTATATCCAAGAAACATTTGAGGGACAAGAAAATCAACAAATCTGAATCAAGAGACAGTGTCTAAAGTGGGAGAACTGGAGATTAAACTGGAGATTAAAACTTTAATCACTGTTTATATTGTATTGTAGAACGCATTAGGACATAGTTTAAAGGTAACTTTAACCTTAGTTGATGTAAGCTTGTTGGCAAATCAGTGAGATACTTAAGCCCTCTTAGGGGATCTGTAGCATTTGCTCAATTTTCTTTTTCTGTGGTAAATATGAGTTACTTTCTATCTGCTACATACAGAATTGCTGATGTGTTGTATGATAGTTTCTTAAATTACCTCCTTATGAAGTCTCCTGATGTGGGAAAATTCCACAGTGTCATTAAATTGGTATAATAAATCAAAAAATTTCAAATAACTGTCTTCAATTCAGACTTCAATATTAAGTCTAGATTTAATGTGTTTATTTCTATATTATACAGGACAGAACTTTTTAAAAATATTAGATCATATTACAAGACAAAAGACAATTAGTCAGTTTTCTTCATAGGTTGCTAATGCCGCAGAGCTGCTCTACAGTCATGGGGAGATGTGAGTGGGTAGCTGCACAGATGGTGATGAGAAAGAAGACTGTCATCCCCCAATGGGGCTCTGCAAGTGGTAGGAGGAAATAATGTCCTCAGGGTAGAATGAGAAAGCAAATCCAGAATCTTCTTTGTCCATTTAACAATAATGGTTTCAAAACATGTATGCTCTTTACAATATCTTTGCATTAATTCCAAAAGGAAAGAATAACACATCTTTGTTGAATGACGTGACTAAATAGAAAACAAATTTATTCAATATGATGATATTCTTAACAAGAAAGGATAGAAAACATAATGGAAGAGGAATTAGTATTCAATAAGTTTTAGAAAAACTGAAGAGATTTGAGAAGATCAGTAATTAAATACAAATGGAAGCAAATCAAAGTGCACTGAGGAAACAGACTGCAAAAATTACTACATTTATTATATTGCAGATAAAATCAATCTTGAAAGGACATCAAGTACTTTGGAGTACAGAATTAGAATTCAAAATGAACTTTACACATTGGAGGTAAAGCCTGGGATGAAAAGAACACTATCCAATTAGAATAAATGTTAAGTGCTACACTGCACTGAAATAATGCACTGCATAAATGTCACAGAGGGAGTCATACTACCAAAGTAACAGTTCTGTAGAAAGGCTTTAGGGATTTTAGTTGATTACAATATAACCAAAAAGTATATGGGAAGAAATCTGAAATAATCTTTGCAGTCTTAAGGTTTCTGTTAACAGACAACCTTGGAATCTGAAAGTCTTGAAGGATGTATGGAAACTAAGCAAGAATCATCACAGAGTTAGAAAAATGACCTGAGAGACAATATTAAACGACTTCTGCTATTTTCATGTAGAAATAGAAGGCCATGAGAAAATAACAGTAGTTATTCAATTAAAACAAAGCATTACAAAGAACACAGTAATAAACTCTTCTCCATAGATAAAATTGGGAAGGATGATAGCAGATCATTTTTATCTTCAGCAAAAATATTTCAGATAGTTATAAAAAGCAAGATTGGACTATTTCAACAAACCTATGAAGAAAGGCAAATATTGAATACAGGTTGTCTGTCTTGGTCCTATTTCACTGCAAGTCTTTCAATATCTCTTTACAACTACTTTTTGTGATACTAAGATTTCATTGGCAAGGGCAGTTTACCTATTATATTCAATCCTAACAGCAAGAATTGTGATGCTGAACTCAAGCATCGCAGAACTGTCTTCAGAATTATAGATTCAAAATTTACTTTTATTTGTTACTTCAGATTTCATCTTCTCCTCTTGGACTTTCTAAGTAATATTTCCAAACATTTTCCATTCTCATCATACCTAGAACTTTTCCATTTGAAATTTCAAAGGAAAAAATCTGGCATTATAAAACTTAAAGAGAAAATCCTTAGAAACAGCTATGCAATGCATCTAATAAGGCACTCCCTATAATATATATCCTATTGCTTATTAGATAAAATATATAGGAACATTTTTGTTATCAGAAATCACAAATGCACATATTTCAATGATCTTTTATAATCTACCATAAAATACACAGTACTGATCTTTTGTTCAGTAACTGAAAGTTAATTCTACTCTTGTGGATTAAGATATTTTAATGAGGCATGCATTCAAACACATTCTGTTTCTGACATACACAACTACTTAGACCTAGAAGCAGCATGAATACATATGCAAAAATAGAAAAGTTATATATAAGTAGCATATCTTCTGCAATTACTAGACTTCTAATATCAAAAGCAGAGTGTTAATCTCAGCTGAGAAAAGGATTGACTTAAAGGTCAATGACTTCAAATTTGTTTACCCCAAATTATTTTTAGTTCATCTTCATCAGTTTTGGCATAAGTAAGAAAAGCCTTTAACAATTTCTTACTATTTTTCTTTAAACATATTCTGCTGAGATGCTTTTCAATGACTGGAACTCAGCCGAAAGTTTCATTCAGAACATGAAGATAGTAGCAAATTATGACACCAGAAAATTCTCTGAACAGCAATCATTCCCAACTCCAGTGTTAGAGAGATACAGCATTCTTACTGCAGTCCTCATTGAAATGTTTTTACATGAAAATTAAATGGTTTAAGCTATGAAGTATACTAGTCATATCCTGGTTGCAAGAACATGTGTTATGGGAAGTCTGATTTATGCAATTAATTATCAGCAATGAACTACAGAACTACGTAAGTCTTTACATTATAGTACCTCATACTATGTAGGAAGGTATTCTGAAGGACAAGTCTGACAAGAAACTTGAAATGTCATGTTAAACTCTATTCCTAAGAGATTTAGAAGTAGTAATACATACACATATGGAGAGAAGT